TTTCCTCTCAGTTCTTTGTAGTGACAGACATTAAGCTTATTCCCCAGCAAATTAAAAAGGGTATGTGAGGTATAAAGAGCTTCTTTACCTAATAACCACCTTTCAGCATTAGAAGAAACAGGACAACACCCCATAAGGCAGTTTCGATATCAATGTGAGTCAATAGCTTTTTGAAAATTTGGCAATTCCCTCTCTCTTTTTTTTTTTTTTGAAAAGCAAAGAAAATGAAAAGACATTGATCTAATCCTTGCTTCGGGAAGTAACTAAAGCTCTATGGCACCTGCGCCGAAAACAGCGGTCAAGAAAGCCTGTAAGCTATTCTAATCTTTGCTAGCCACTAAAATATTTTACTAATCCTGCCTCCGAAGCAAATATGAATCACTTCCTCCTTTATTTATAGACTGAATGTTTAAACTTCCCAAGAAATGGAAAGTACATTAAAAAAAAAACTGCATAAACTGTATTTTAATTGAAATAACATATAGCAGCAACATTCTGCATAATATAGAATCAGTTGCTTCATTCGTCCAGAATACCTAATGAGAATAACATTGTTTTCTTTAGAAAGTACACCGATACACTTACAAAATAAATATTTCATACAAAACTTTCATCCATCAAGTAAAAAAATAAAAAAAAAGTTTAGCTATTTCTAGACCAAACATAGATAGATTTAATTTTATTCCAAAACTTTCTAAATCTTGAATGTCCGACTTTTAGACAATTAAAATTAAATAAAACAAATCCTGGCTATATCATTGCAAAATTAAACAAAAAATGCTGAAGATTCACATACAAGTGTTCATACAGTCATTTCACTAAGGTATGCTTTTTCTAAAAGTTATATATTTTTCCAGGTTTTTGTTCCTATTTCTGCCACATTTGTCTGTACTTACCATAAAGCTTTTTTAAAAAGTGAGTCATTTATAGTTCATTGTAAATGGCCGCGTCAGTATTTTCTGCTATGGCAGGCAGTTCTACAATGCCAAGAAACCTTCTCCTATGACCTCTCATAAATCTTATCTTCAGTGTATCTTAGACACCCTTTTACATCATCTTAACATCAGTACTTATGCCCAAGGCAAACTCGTTGCTCAAACACAAAGCTGAACATCCCCCCAAAAGTCTTACTGTTCTCAGATGTGAATGACAGAGCAAGAGGCAGTTGTAATAGCTGTCTGTTTCGAGTCTTCCAGCTCTCTCTCTAGCAGTATGGTTCCAAAATTGCCTCTTCGTCTGCTGATTAGACTTGGCTCCTCCAAAGTGTATCCACCTCTCTGAAAGATTCACACAACTCGACAGCTGATTCATTCCTTTTTCAAGCAAGCAATAAATAAAAATATTGGCATGCCACTAAACAAATGGCAGCACAATGTGCCCAGTCATCCAATAGCTTACATCCAAACATATTAGCCAGGCCTTTCCTTATATAAAATAATAAGAATCATACATTTTCTATTTGGTGATAGTCCTCCACCATGAATTTATCATGTCTTTTTCTGCTATCCTCCAACTTCTTGCTACACTTACATATGTGTGGAACACACATATAAGGAGTTCATCATATGTGACTCTCATTTCCTAGTAGCATGTACATCTCATATTTTGCAGACTACTATGTGACAGCTTTCCTGAGTTTTGTTGTTTTTTTCTTTTTCTGTTTTTTTTTCACTTGTCCAACAGTTCAGTCTTCGTGTCTTTCAAGCTTGTGTAGTTTTTCCTCTACATAGGTGTCATATTAATATATCACTTTATACTACACCTGTCCTACACTAAGAACATTTTGTGTGATTTGGTCAATATGAACACTTTATTCATATTCTTGTGAGCGTTCTTTTGTTTTGCTGGCACTGCTATCCAACGATAATCTGTAGCCAAATAAGCTTTGTTATGTAAAAACATATCTCCTCACATAATACCAGTACTACGTGTGAGAACTGATCCACAAAATAGCGTTAGATATAAAAGAATAGATTCTAGGAAAAGAATTTTGACATATAGCATGCCTTTCATGCACGCCAGATACATAGGATACATGTAATGAGATATGTATTAAAATCCCTAAGCTACCTTTACTGCAGTGTCCTACGTACATAAATATGGATAGATGCTAGCAAGGGAATCTACGTGTAAATATCCGATTTTGAGTAAGCAGTAATCTCTTCTTCGGAGGACTGAATCTGTGTGCGAGTGGTTAGATTGATCTGGTTTACAGCTGGAGTAAGCCTATACAGAAGATGAGAGAGAAGTCTTGCAGTTAAAGGTCTGGTGCCTGCTTCCTATTACAAGAGAGCCTAATTAGTGGAAAGGACTACCTTGGCACAAATATTTTAAGAGCTAAGAAGCTCATGATTACTGAGAGGTAGTGAAACAGTACAACAAAACAGAAGTAATTCAGTAAGAAAGAAAGAAGGAAAAGGAAGAAAAAAATATGATGATAGCAATGGAAACAACTAGAGGAATGAGGGATGACAGGATTCAGAAACTGCAGGATGACCCTGGAGTTCCTGATATAAGTAATATGTGAGTGTTCCTGATATAAGTAATATATTAGTGAAGGGTCATCTGTAGAACCTAAGAGAAAGAACTAGAAATGAAATTAAAAGCAATGCTGATGTTAAAATGATATATAAATAATATGCTGGAGGAGAGGAGAGAGAAGGCTGCATATAGAACTGAGCGTCTGCAGAAGCCTACTTAACAGAAGGACATAGGAAGTGCTTATAAGCCAGGAGGATTCATATGGCCAAAACAGCAAGAAAAAAGAGGGAATGTATTAATTAGTAGAAGAGAACATGAACTGAAAAATATAGACTAGAAACAGCTAGACACAAAAGATCTAATAGTATATAGAAGAGAAGAAGATCTGGACAACTCCGGGAAAAGCTAAAGGAGAACTTTAATTTCCTAGTTAAACTGAATAAGTTGCACTGAAATGTGAATCTACATGTAATTATACTTCAAATTGGCAAATATTTTCAATAATTTCCCAGATAGTCCCAGAGGACATAGCATATACATTTCTTCATCAAATCATCAGTGAACTAAGGAAGAACTGTTGTTATATCACGGCTAGGACATAAATGAAGGTCTAAGAAGTGAAAATGGACTAAGCACCCAGGAATGAATTAATATAAAGCCTAAAAACCAAGTAGTTCTAATTCAAAAGAGAAATATTTAATAAGCAAAAAAAAAGGTAATTGAAATCAGTGACAAAATGGAATAACAGACCTTGATTGTTTAACTATGCTTAGTGTTTTCTAAAGGCAAATGTGGTAAAATTATTAAGGATCTATATTGCAGTGAGATGGATACTATCTGTCTTATTTCTTTGTTACCAGTTTTTACATTCCATTTTTTTAAAGTGGGAGTGACTAGATGATGTGGACATCTCTGGAGGCAGGGGGAGATTGATTCTACTGGAAAAAATATAGATATGCTTGGGAAGAGAAGGAACAGAATTAGCAAGGTGTGGTCAGCAAAGTGAAAGAATCAGGAATTAGGAATGGCAAGAGCAAGAAGCCTACAAACACAGACATTGCTGAAAGGAGCAGAGAAAAGATATCCAGCTGTCAGAGGTGATCGAAATATGAAATTTGAAGCTTGGTAGCAGCTAATTTTTGTAATTCCATCATGTCAGGATGTTATCATAAGGAGGAGAAACTGAAAACTACTTTCACTCACAAACAGGAATTACATGATCTGGACCATTATAGATAGGCCTGTCAGTCTGATCTTGGACTCCAAATCCAAGACTCCAAATCCAAGAACAAATAATATATTTTAAAGGAGACGATAATGAGGTGACCAAGAGAATAAAGAGTCTACGTTACAAGAGCAAAAGATAAACTTGGCTTATTTAGCCTAGTAAATGAAATCGTAGAGTTGTTCTAGATATGCACAGGGATGTAAAATAACCATTTAAGCTAAAATGCAACAGTAACACAAAAACAAGTGAGAATAAAATAATCTTAAACACAAAATAAAGTTGGAAATTTAGAAGAAGATTCCTAAGTATTGGGGCAGCCATTTGCTGGAATAGCTTTCTAAGAGAAGTAACTGAAAAAAAAAACAAATGGAAAAAAATCAATCTGATTTTAACATAGAGATTTCTGTGTTTATGAAAAGGATTATAGGTTATGATACCACAGCAAGGTGCTAGATTTGGTGAATTAATCTCTTCCAGGTCTGAGTTTTGAAATGCAAAGTCTAGAAATTTGCAATTACTGAATAAAATCATGCTAGATGTGTGGATTTAACTATAGCTGTACAGCAAGGATGATATTCAGTGATTTACACACTGAATAAAAGGAAATTCTATGATTCTTTTAAGAAGTGGTTTAAGCTTTAAGTGATGTTATTATCCATCTAGAGTGCTTAAATAGGAGATCACAAGTGCACACAGACTTTTGACGACCCTCTACAATGAATTCCAGTCAAACCATGCATACTAAGTAAGGTTTCATTGAAAGAGCTTTTATAGAGTGCTTTCAGTGAACAACTTCAAGTTTCTCATTGAGGAGTGCACCATTTTAGTTCACGTCATTTTGCTTTATATTTACTGTGAGAGGAAAGCTAGAGAGGTAAGTGAACGAGATACATAATGATTTTATGAGCAGAGCCATAAAGAAGGTCTGTAGGGGAAACATTCATCTCCAGTAAGTTTATAGTGTTAAAATTATTCCTTTGTTGAAATTATTCAAAATACTAAGCAATGCATTATTAACTGTATTCTGCTGGGTGCTACATAAAAGATCCTTCTAGTAGAAATAATGTTAACCACAACACACCAGTCTATAAATTGCATCCAGCTTTGTGAATGGTTATATGACTTGGGAAACATGAATCCATGCTGCAGTGAGTGAGTTATTTTTTCTTTTTATGGGTTTGCTGAAAAAAAAGACTGCATGAAAAAATACAGGTGGAAACAAACTGATTCATGCTGGCTTGAGCTGATGGTATTGTCAAGACACCCAGCAAAGCTATGGAAGAAGACAGGGCTGGAATACAGCATTCCGCTAAATCTGTCAAAAAATAAAGAAAATCAGGGAATCTCAGTGTAGGATTTATATGAACATAAAATAGATTCAGGTTACTTCCATGATAATTTCCTGCTTTAATATACAGAGCTCATTTAGCCCATTTAGGGACTGATCTTTGATCCTTAAAGGAAAGGTAAAACTGCTGTGTGGATAAGACCCTTGGGGAAACAGTAAGAAGAATATTTCCTATTTGATTTCATTCCTGTCAAAGTAGTTTTCCCTCATCTCCAAGAATCAGAAACCTTTGATCTATCCCTGTGGTTAAAAAACAAGTATGTCTAAGAGGCTGGCTGGAGTCTAAAGGAAAGCTTTGGACAAGAAATTCAAATGAGAGCTGAAAGTATCTTAAAGGAGATGTACTTGGTCAGAAAGAAAGTGATAAACTTTCTGTATTGATGCTGCCCAGTATAATAGTACCAAGGACAATTTTCACCTGCTTATATATTAAAAAGTCCCAGAAAAGGAAGAATATGCACAGGATGCTGTTGATTTAACAGCGTCTGTGTTCTCTATCTTTTGAGAGAAATCACAAACAAAGCTTTGTTCTGAAGATATTGATGGACATTTGTGAATGTGTAATCCTAGTACAAGGTGAGAACAGTACTCTGCCCAGTGAATATCAGCTAGCCTGTGGGGAGGACCACTGCAAGGTAAGACATGGGACTAGGCATCTCCTGTGCCAGGGACCTCTGAGATAGAGTTTGAATAGGTAAAGGAAGGGGGAAAAAGAGGAGCAGGAGCAAGTTTGCTGGATCATTCTTTTTAATAGTTAGTTCTACTGTCCAAGATAAACCATCTCCAGTACAGTTCTGATTCTACATCTATATATAAAGATAGATATATCTTAAATATATTCATCTGATTGATTGTATATGATCCACCTCTAAGCTGGTCAACGCAGCCTCCTTTTATAAATATAGGAATACTTCTACCTGAAAGCAGAGGTCTAAATTGTATTAATCACATCCTAAAAGCAGTTCTTTTTCTACTTGACTACAGAAGGACTATAGGGTGGTGGACTCCAATGTAAATATTTAAATTTAGTTAGTCCCACTGCAGTGGACCTCTGTATTCAAACCTTGAAAGTGTAATATTGTTGTAATGCACATTTATTCAATCAGATTTCTCAGTTAATATTATTAAGAGTTATGCTCTTAGTTCTAACAATTGGTGTCGCAACTCTTGATATGAAGCAGTGTAACTGGCATTTTCTTTACTTGAATATAAATATATGTAGTGACAAAGTCTACATTTTCTATTATATATTTGTTTTCTATATTTAAAGTTTTAAAGATTCTTGAAGAATATGATGTACACTGACTTTTCTCATAGTAGCACTTGAAACAACTCGTGATACCATTGTTTTTTATTCTTTTGCTTGTTCACCTGAATCACAGCTGTTGCCACTATTGCTTTAAGCTTTTTAAAAGTAATGGTGAAGGGCCAGAAGAGCAAAGACAAGGAGAAAACACCATTGCTTCAGGGCCCTATTCAATTCTCTTTAATCAGGCGGAACTGCCATTGAAATCCGTGACAGCTTTGCTTGAATAAGAAGGGCCGAATAGGGACTTCAGTACTTCTAGAGTGTAACTCAACAATCTGCCCTACATGGCAGAAAAGGACTGACACTAGGAGCAAAGGAAGAACAAATAGTGACTCTCTATTAAAACATACTCTTTGTATCCTTTTTTCTCTGAGACTGAAATGTTCTTTTCTCTCATACTCCTTTATACATATATATGCATGCCATATGGTTTGCCATGTATTGTAATTCAGCCAAAAGTCCTCATCCCTATTCCCGGATTTCTCTCACCCAGTGCCGTACCCATTTTCACACAGGATTTTTAGGTGAGCTATCCCAGCTAAGCAATAGTCCAGTATAGTCAAAATAGGGAACAAAGAAAACTCTAAGTGTCCCCATAATGTAACCTTAATGAAACCTAAGTGCACTGATAATGTACCCCATATGCATTATGCAGGAGACAATTTTTAAATATGATTTCTTAACAGGAAAAAAAAAAAACCAAAAACAAAACCCAGCAAACTAAAATATATTTTGAAGTCTGAAGATATTCCCCAGAAGATTCATTTGAGAGCCATTGAAAGTTGTAATACCTGAGCTACTTCTTTAGAATGCTCTTAACTAGCACTATGGCAATGAAATGCCAAAGATTTATTGTCAGAAAATGCAGACAGATAGTAATTGGTACTCTCCTGCAGTTTAATATATACATTTCTTGTATCCTGATACTTACTCAGGCATATCAGTTTTTGATGAAAAATACGGTAGCCGTAACAACACTGATAAAGAGCTTGGAGTGTAGATTTCCATGTTGCTGAATTTATTGTCCTCATTTACTGACATGAGGAGTCACTTGGCACTCTCCAGTGCAATAGAATTATAGATTATGCAGTTCTTAATCAGCTGTGTAATGCACAGGCCTTCCTTACCCAATTGTACCAATTCAATTTAGGTCATTAAAACTGCTAAAGGCAGCTTTCCTCCTCTGGCATTGAATGACTGTTTAGAAAGCTGTGCTTTTTTAGCAGTATAAGTCAGCAGTCACTTGCTGAGAGATGGCGTGGCTTTTAAAAGCTGGTTCAGCACAAGAAGAAAAAGAGAACTGACACTAACTGTAATTGTCAGAAACTCAAGCACTGTGCTTTTAAATATCTGAGAAAGCCAAACTAGAAAGCAGAAGAGAGGAGATTTAGAAGAATAGGAAAAAGATGTCTGAGAAAGATAGGAGAAGGGAAAAATTTAAAAAAAAAAAAAAACAAATTTTAACTCCTAGATAGGAAGATACTGAAAAATAATAAAGCAAAAATTTCTATTCATATTTTAAAAAGAGCATTAAAGCTCAGAGTAATGACAATGCACTTTCCAGGGTTAGCACTGTATGGAATTGATCCATGCCCGTTGAAATCATGGGAATTTCTCTGCTGACCTCAGTCTTTATCAGCTACAGTCTCCTGCAAGCACACAACTAGAACAATAATTAAAAGAAAAAAATCAGTAAATGTAAATGTATATGATTGAGATATAATTGTATGAGTTTTGTGAGCCATGCTTCTGTCCCATTCACCTTACAATTTTACAAGTAATGTACACTCTTGTTTAAGCAGTAGGTACTGGCAGAAAATGAATTTAGTGGTATGCAGAAAAATGAAACATTTCTACCATAGAACAGAGGCACAATGAGATATCATTGTGCTTAAAAGTACACCTACAGCAAGCAAGAGTGCATGACAGCATCCATGAGTAAGGGTCATTAGTTCAAACTGAATTCATTTGTCCAGACAGGCTTATAATATTAATAAATACAAACTACCTACTTGAAGAGCATGTTGATGGGTTTGGGAGGACAAGAAGAAGGAAGAGCAGGTAATCACTGAGAGAAAAAAAAAAAACAGAAAAAACTTAAGTTTGAAAATTCAACTTCTGAAGTTAGAGTAAAAATCCTAGACATCAAAGATAGTAGATGAGTTCATAATTGGTCTGGATTTCGTTATGTCTGATTATTTCAATAATAGGCACTAGAAAAGTATCTTACAAATCAATCTGCTACAATTATTTTTAAAAAGGGAGACTAGGTCAAATGAATGACTTCTGAGCGATTGGTTTTCACTGAGCACGTTGTCCTGCCTCAGGACTGATATCTTAATCACATCTGAGTACACTAGTACCTTTCCAAGATGGAAAAATGTAGGAAGCTCTTGAGACCACTGCTCAAACACAGCATCCTCGAACATCTTTAGTAATTTCAGGTAAAAAGGATATGAAGAGAGAATGGATTTTTCATCAGTTGCTGAACATTTGTGATAAACAGAAATAATTAAACACAGAATGCAGGCAGCAAAACTGGAAACAGCACCAATGAAAGCTGCTATGGAGGAAAACTAGGAGGGTGAAAAAATAAGGTAAAGTCATCACTTTCTAAGTCATTCCACTGCATGGAATTGTATACTTAAGTAAGGAGCAACAGAATAGTCATAGAGATCTGAATATGATGATTCAAGAATTGTTTGTCATATGCCAAGGCATAGGTTGTACCTTGGAACAAGAGTGATGCTAAAGGAAATTGTGCCATTGGATATCTTCCGCACTGCATTCCATGCTGCAAAAGCGTTCTGGGAATGTATTATCAAGGTTTAATTGCCCTTTGACTTTTATTTGGAGAAAGATGGCAACAACAAGATTTGTGAGGACTACAGAAGATTCTTATCCATTGCCATGAGTAGATGATACCAAGGACAACATGAAGTTTTACACACTGAATATTAAAATGGGGTAAATGGAAGTTGAAATCTGATGAAACACAAAGCCTGTAGAAATGTTATGATTTGTTTGTGTTTACCTTACCTAATACAGTGGCTTTAGCACAGGATATGTATTGTATGGCTTGTCTTTTTCACTGTCCTTTACATTTAATTAGTATTCATGGAGACAGTAAAATATCTAAAGAGAAACTATTGCATTTACAAATGGTCTATGGTAAGCTTAAGTTTGGAGTTAGAAACAAGGTAATTTATCAAGGATGCACCAGTCAGAGAGAGACAAGAGAAAGCTGAGGATATGTAGAATTTCCCAGTCTTCCACACATCCAAAAATGTGCAGAATCCTTTTTTTTTTTCCCCTCTCCTATTCTAGATAATCTGGATTTTAGGTGAAAAAGAAAAGCAGTTCAGTATTCGAAGGACAGTTTATTTGTTTCAGACTGCAAATGTTCCTGCCTTATTTGACCTGTTTTCAAACTTCTTTTCACACTGGGCATAGATATAATTCTAACAAAGGACTGTAGAGGATGGCAACTTCTTACAGCAAAACTGAATATACTCCAGAGACAAGTTTCATTACCTATGGGGAGACTCTGACTAGGACAATCATACTGGGCCAGACCAAAGACCTTTCTTGACCTTGTCTTGCATACTGGACAATAGAGGTGGGCACCGTTAGGAATGGTCTATTTGATATCCCTCAGGTCTCTTTTTCTATTTCCACATGTCTCTTTTTCTACTCTCCCTTTGGGGACAGAGTAGGTATTTCATGTATTGGTGAGATAGGCTGTTGTATGTTCCTATATGGAATCAGTAAGTACTCCGGCCATTAGTATTGGGGTCTGGGGACCTTCATCCTCCTCTTCTACTCAATATTTGCTCAGCTTTAAGGGGAAAACCAATAGCAACACTGTTGAATAGAAGACACTTATGTAAATAAACCATCAATGTAGCAAGGATACAAGGATATTTCCCTTGGTACCTCCCTCCTTCTACAGTCTATGTCTTATGGACCTCCAAGGATGATACCCAAAATCTATGTTTAATTATCTTTGATGGACTTTTCTTCCCTGAGGTTCCAAAAATTTTAGATCTATACAGGGTTTCTACCATCATCTACCATCTACCATCATCTTTGTAGGAGAAAACTTTGCTCAAAGCCTACAGTAGTTTTTTCATTCAAAAATACTGAAGGTCAACATGCCAAGAAGTTCAAGCAAACTTGTAAAGCTGTTATTCTGTAATGATTGAGCAGACTTGGAAATGTAAAGCATTTACTTTTGATATTTGCAGCCAATGCACTAAACTGAAGGCAGTGGACTGGAATACCTACGGAAACTGGTGGACACACAAACTGTTGTCTTTGTTCTTCTCCTCAAGGTAACTCATCCTGGTTTATCCAGTGCATCAGTGGATATGGATTTGCAATAACAGGCTAGAGACAATAGAAGCTTTCCAGTGATGGTGATCTTTTATTTAGAACACCGTGCAATCACAAGATCTAGGTACTGTGGCATCTTACAGAATCACCACGAAAACATTTTGATCCCAATGGAAAAAGGCTGGAATTTAAAGATGAGGTACCATATAGGAGGTGGAAGAAAAAAAACAAACAAACAAGCAAACAAAAGGCTTGATGAGTACCAATGTCTACCTATATCCGAATGAAAGGAAATTCTCAGGTGATACCATTTTTCAATGAGCTGGGCCATTATACGTTTCTAAAACCTTAGAGAAGCACAGCATTTCTATACAATGAAATGCTGCCTATATATGTGTATATATTTGTGTGTATATATATGTGTGTGTGTGTGTGTGTGTAATGCATCAGCATTTTATGTAACTAGTAGAGCTTACTATAGTTGGTATGTTTCAACTTTTGCCTGAGAAAATAGCAATTAACATTAGTTGTAATCAAATCTGTTGTTTCACAAAATGGCCTGAAGCCTACTGAATAAGAAAGTCATGGCAATAGCAGAGGTTTAGTGGATGAATTCTTCACTTTGGGTTGCGTGATAATCAAGGAGAAATTTGGAGTCAAAGTACTTCAGAAATTTAGTGGGATTTTAAAGCACCACAAACCTACTTTACCCAGAACACTTACAGGCCAAAGAGGAAGTAAAAATATTTAGCTGGAATATGGCTTCAGCCAAATGCCTTTGTAGGACAGTGCCAAAAAATACTGGCACCAATATTTCCTACTGGTAATTTATAGAAGAGCAATAAATAATACTACACTTCTGCAATTTTAAGTGTGAATTAGCTAATTTTATCCACTGGAAAAGAAATAAAGCCTTTCAGACCCCTGAGATTATATAGAAATACTTATACCAAAACTAAAAATACTTCAGTGTAGAGAAAAATTTAATGACAAATTTAGGAAAGTTTAGTGTTGTCCTCAGGAAAAAAATAAATGCTTCCAAAACAGGAACCTGGCTTGGTTCCTAGCTAAAAAGGGAGATCAGAGCCCTATCATAGATAAGCTGTGAGAGTTGTCTGAAAACCTACTGAGCTGAATAAATTGTGACTGTTACAGCTGGGCTCAGCACTGACTGCAAAAGTTAGCCATGAGACCAATCTAAGGAAGTATGAGACGGATGAAACATAACTTCTAAGCTTGAGAATGTAGTTCCTCTAATGGTGGAATACACGTAAATCACACAGGAACTGACATTTTTCTAGAAACTTTTAAAAAATATTCCTCCTTATTGTTTGAAAAGAAATCAGGAGTAGGAAAATTTTCAGTGTTTTTGTTCACCCAACAATGCTGACAAAAAATGTTCTGATAACAGAAAACTAAAAAAAAAAATAAGATCCTGTAACTTATGAATAAATCCTTCTGTTTATCCATTATAAGTTAAGTTACTAACTGAATTAATTAGGTTTTAAACTCCATCAGAGCAATGGGCAGACCTGTCGTGATGGGTGACTACCTTCTGGTATATCTTTGGCATGTTTAGCATATCTTTGATATTAACTAATTAGTCCTCCTTATAGTTAATAGAAGTTATGGCAACTCTTTATTCACTTTACATGCAAGAAGCAATTGTAATAACTTATGGGATATATAAGTTATATCTAGATCTATACATAGCTTTCAGGAGACCTATAAAGGATGCTGTACTACACTGCCTTGTAGTTAAGCTGAAGTTGAACACGAGGGATTTCTCTGCAAACTGATTGTAAATGTAAGTCATACAGCCGCGACTGATTATATCTGGGGGTATTATAAGCAGAAAGCAACAAGAAAGCCAAGAGAAACAATCATGAGTGTGGTACTGAGAAAGGAAACGGTGATAAAGCTCCTTGGGGGCTCAATATTTGCTGGAAAAGTAAGCATAGAAATTATTTGGAAGGAAACTGCTGTTTGTTCATGCTGTGTTCGAGGAAAAAAAAAAACTTTGTTGCGACAAAGGTGAGACAAAGAAATGCTCGGCTCTGTTTCTCCCGCTAACAGAAAACTGGCAATAATTCAAAGTTTGCTAACCACTTGAGCCACAAGAAACTACTATTTTATTTTATTTTTTTAAATTATTCCACAGAAGAAAAAATTTGAACTTAAACTTCCTAAAGTCCTTAGCAGGCACACAAATCTATATATGCAATTCATATCCATAAAACTTGATGATTTCTGAATGTACATTTATTTATATTGAAGCTCATCAATAATTTTAACTTAATAGAACTCCTTTCATGAAACAAAAAGCTATGCTAATATGCACACTTAGCCTGAACAGATAAATCATAGCAAATATTTAATTTGATGCATGTAGTCATTTTTCTGCTCATGGAATATTTCCAAATCACAGCTTCTTCAGATTTATTAATTATTCCAATATATTCCTCAAATCCCTTATGAAGTTGTATTTTACATGAAACAGCCATAAGCAGAAGCCGGTCATGTCTGATTCAGGACTGCTTTCCATATGTCTGAAATCTTCTCTTGTCAAGGAAGCAGCCCCAACTCACTCATTTACAAAGAGGATAACAGAGAAACAAGCATCAATGAGCCAGCAAAATCCCTTTCCTAGAATGATCCACACCTCTAAACAATGTGATTTGTTGCTGGCAAATGTTGTCAGCCGGCTGATATCAATGGCTACGATAACAGAGGTAAATATACATCAAACAGCTAGTGGATTCGAAATTGGTTATATTAATCTTTGGGTGCATACAGGTAATCCATTGAAATAGATTTCATGCTTTATATTCAAATTATCCTACTGAAAATAATATCATTTAAAATAATATTAGGGGCATGGCATCTGGGGAGGTAACAAAGTTAGAAGTCCTATCTGTGTAATTTACTTACAATTACAAAGCTCTCAGTCTGCACTTTATTTATAATTGGTCACTCAGATTTACTATCTGTGATGCTTTCCCTGTGCTTCCTGTCAAAATATCTACTGATAAGTCAAGCACTCAGCAGCTTAATACTGTAACGGTCAGGCTTATATTTTCTGTTTTACATTAATGCATTGCAGACTCCTGTGTTCAGAGTTTTCTTACCACTGAGAAACCCAAACTCAAAGTGAAAGGAAGTAATTTAGGACCAAGGACAAAAATATATGAATTAATTTAACCTTGTGCAAACTGCTTTGAAGCATTCAGCAATAGCATGTTGCCCAATCGTACTACGCATTTTGAAGCAGGATTTTCTCTTAAAGTATTCCATTGGAAAGGTCTGTGAAAAATAAGAAGTGCAACACATTTCAAGGTAATCTCAGCAGGGAAGTTCAAGATCATTACTACAAAACAGAAGTATATGCAATGTAATTCCATTATGGCCATGCAACCCACTGAAAGAAAAAGAATTGAAGATTCTGCAGCCTCCCTTCTCTGCCTCCTCTCCTCCCTGTATAACTACAGTTTGATGAGTTAAACTGCTGTAGCAAGCTTAGGTTTCAGGAGGGATCAGGATCTTCCACAGAAATGAGATTCATAAACTGTACAGCCTCAGTTATTCAGTCACAGTGTCTCAGCATGTTTAACAATTCTGTTTCCTATATATCTGCTTCTATGCAATCTGATTTGTTGTGACTGCTTTCTCTCGTTAGTAGTCAGCATTTAAGTATTGTGCCCTCTCAGCACCTGAGAAGATATGAATTACGGAAGAAAGAGAGAACAGAGACGCAAAACATAGCAGACTAGGAACAAGAGACCTCTCCTCGTAATATTACTTTGATATTTTTTCTAGGTTTGTATTTACAGCCATTAGTTTAATAATCTCCTGTTTCTTCTTCCTAAAGAGAAGTTGTTACTGTGTCTTTCCTGCTTATCAAATGCAGATTTATTATGCTCAGGTAGTTAAGAGGACATAAGAGATTGTTGAACAATTGCGTACAATTTTTAGTTTCATAATGCTGAGCTGTGTAGAAGGACATTATCCTTCCCAGACATTAGTACAAGTATAAACCAACTCCCAGGCTACATTAAAATTTTAAGTGTTTGTCTATTTTATTAGTAAGAGAGAACGCTGTTTATGAACAGACTGCATTGCACAAATTAAGGCAATTGTAGATAATAAGACAAACATTTCCTTTTTGGTAAAAAAGGAAGTCATCTTCATAAAATTTTGGCTCTATTTACTGTGAAAAAGCGCAAAAGATTATTAAAAAGAAATAAAGCCAACATTTCTGTTTACCGATGCTGCAGGATGCTAAGCATAAACCACAACACAAGGGGGTTTTCATACAGATGTTCTTGCTGGTCAATTAAAAGAAAATCAGAAATTCTAGATGAGAACAGATAATCTTTTGTGGAGAGAGACACTGACAATTAAGATGTAGCATAAACAAAAAGGAATCAATCATGATACTCTCAAATTGCTCCCTGGGTCAGTGATCTTTTATGCACGAAACTGTATGCGCGACATTCTGGAGAGGACTCCTGATTCAGAGGAAATGACTGAAATGGAGAATGCTGGAGATGAGGCAACATCTAATGAGGCTGCAAGAAGGGCTATGTTTTAAAACCCTTTGAAATTTCATTTCACTGCAGCTCTGTCAAACTGTCTTGGAGTAAAGAATACAGATCTTAAACCAAAGACTCCCCTTCTAGCACTAAGACAGACACAAATCGAGGAGAAACTATAAATTACACAGCCACTCTCTGACTTGGAGATGCTGTGTGAGAACCCTTTGTGCCAAGCACCTTTGGAATTGCTTCAATGGGAAAAACTAACCACTTCTTTGCACATATACATATTTGAGTCATCCTAGATATATTTTGTGATACACCAAGGACTGGATTTTGTCAGCAGAGCAAATCTGAAAACACCTTTAAAAGAGAGAAAATTGTTTTGCGAACCATAATATATACCTTAACTGCCTTGTTTTTGTTCACAGAGTGCATGACTTTGAGCCTGCAACAACAGTTCCATCATGCTCTGCAGCAGCTCCTTACCAGCAGTTTTTACACGGGTCGATCCTTCAGTAGGCTTCTGTGCCTAAGTCAGATAGATATCTGGTAAATGGTTGCTATGTGTCTCAACTGTTTAGTGAGAAAACAAACAGATACAAAAATAATAATTTGTACTTGATTATGCAAATAATTGTGCCTGACTCCTGCTCTGCCCTTTTCGCTGAACTAGATCCTCTTGTTTCTTATAATCATTACATTTTCCAGACCGAAGTAAGAATTCGAGTTTCAATAATAGCGTTAAGTTTTAAAGAGGCTTACCAACATTAAATAGCAAATCCACACAACATTGCAATGCCGTGTATTTGAACGTATACAAAGAGAAGGGGATAGTTCTGAATTAAAAGATGTTTATGTAAGAATTAGAATGTGCAACTGCCTTTAAGAAGAATCATTGCTTTACATGCATTAATTTCACAGTAAAAATGTCAAAGGTTTCTTATGGAGCAAAATAAAACTTATGTTTTAGAGCATTGTTTATTTATTATTTTCTGAGTCATCCATTTTTGGATGCAAATAAAAACACAAAATAGTTATCATGAGAGTGCCTCGCAAGCCGTTCTTCTTCATTCCCTATCAAAAATTCATGTGAGATCAGAAAACCTTAGATATTATCAGGTTTACAGCCTGGAATCAAATAAGACTCCACTAATCTTTTATGAAAGATCTTGTACCGCGATGCCAAGTCCCTCATGACACCGAAGAGCTTCCGAAACACATGCTGCGAGTCCAACAGGTGTGAGGAGCACAATGCTAAGAACAAGAACCTTAAGACTCCCCATGAGAGCCTCAGCCTCACTGACTGCATCATATGGATCAAGAGGCTTCCCATGTATCCATGATTTTCCCTGGAGGTTTTGTGCTGCCTTAAGCCAAAGTCTTTTAATGGATTCTTCTCCACCTAGCAATTATAAAAATGTGACAAATAACCAAAAGCAATCTTTTGAAAGTTGATGAGAAAAACAAAGCATTCTCTTCCATTCCTAATATTTTGGACTAGATCCAGACTAAGTCAAATGGCAGTTAGATAGTAGAATCAGTTTCTATTAAAACCAAGAACATAACAACTAAAAGCATTGAACGTGTACTTTTTATGTTTTCATTATTTATAAGCTGCAACCCTATTTTCAAGAGCTTTATAAGATTTTAACCCCAAATATGAATGTTTAAGGAACAATCAAGGACCATAAGCTTGGAAGCAGTGCATGTTGGGATTTTTTTTTTTTTTTTTAGCAGACTCTGTTTACTTTCAAGACTTCAGCAGGCCTGTTCTTATAATAATGTTTTCAAGTATGTTGCCATCATATAACTAAATAGTTGACCGAAATACTTATTTGTTTAATTTAACTGGTTGGAATAATGACAAAACAGTAATCCAACAACAATATTAACTGCATAATCCTCCTTAATGTCTGTCTTTCCCTTCCCTCTCTTTTCTATTGTATATTTATTTACCATGACTTGTGAGACTTCAGGCTGTAATCTCTTCAAGATGCAAGGTAATTATTTTAGCTACTATTGCTCTTACAATTATTACTACTATTGCAGAAAGTGAATAAAATTCTCATTAATACTAATAACTATACATTCTATTAAATATTCAGTATTCACACATACAGATGTGGTAAATTTTCAAATCACGGCTGCATTCATTTTAATTTTTTTTTAAAGGTATGATCTAACTCAGTTGTAGGCACAATATAGGAATTTATTCAATCACCTTGTTTGGATAGCTTTATGCATGCATCAAACAAGTTAACTACAGAGATTTCTTCTGCCTTAAAAATCTGTCTTAAGTTATGTACTGTAAATTCTCACATAACTTCATGAAAGCTACATGAACATTTGAAGCATTACCTGTATCATAAACTTGTTTATAGCTTTATATATCATGCCTGTGAACAATATTGTTCAAGTTAACAGAAAAGCTCTAAATTCAGAGGTAACTTTAAAAGTTTTCTATCAATTTCTGGCACGTTAAGAAGCATTTTAAATTGCATAAAGATACTACTGCCAGTCATCATACCCAGAACAATGCTCAAGTTCAGCATCATGGTCTACAGGTAAATAACTATTCTCTAGCAAAGCAAAGAATGGAGAGCATTTCAGGGTGATTTCACTGCCAAAACTGTTTTACTTCTAATTTTTCATTATTTTGCATTATTTCAAATTTTCCATTAGTTTCACTCAGATGCCATTTTTTCATTGTTGAAAATTATTGCAACTGCTAAAAAATGGCTATATCTAAACCACAGAACAAGAATACATCATAACATCTTCTAGAGTCCTCCTCCTTTGAAAATTTGTTTCAGCTATCAAGCCAGAGTTTGCCATGACTGCTATATTTTCTTCTTGAAGTTCTTTTGATGTTTTCCCAAAAGAAAGTCAGGACTTACGTAGTGTGGGCACGTATATCTAAGCTTGGGTGCACTTAGATCCCACTTATTATCCTTAATATATTTGTTTATAACTTACTATCCTGAGAGAAACAGCTTACCTGGTATCTACGACTAGTTTATTTCAGACTTCTTTGTTCAAAATTAGTAGCTTAAACTGTGTCTGGAAATCAACTAAGTCAGCTATGCCAAGTCGATATAGTCTGAAGATGTAGCTGTATTGTAGCTACCTAACTAACCTTGAGATGACAAAGGTGAAGGTAACTGTAGCAAATTTCTTATCTGAAAGACGAGATCATGACCTTCCTTCTGAAAGAAGAGTAGGCAGCTGTTTTGGCAATTGCATTTCTCAGTTCTCTGGATCTAACAAGAACCTCAGATTGCAAACTGCCAAAAGATGGTGGGAATAAATTAATAGTCAGAGGTATTGATATAGTTTCTTATAGCTCCTTACGTTATCCTAGAATAATTAGGAATTTTATTGAATCTTGTAAGAGGTTTTGGAAGTTGTCAGTTCTTGGAGAAACCTACAATTAAGACTGAATTTCTTGTGCTGTCTCAGCACTACAGGTTACTGCAGGTAGCTAGAATGACTAATGCTAGAAACACGTTATCATCATCACTGATACTAAGGCACTAACAAGGAAATCCAATGATCACAACAGCCACTGATTATGTACAAGACTTACATTGTGCCCTTGCAGAAGCAAACATTTTGTATCTGTAATATTCCTGAAATTTGGGGGGCGGGGATGTTCATTTCAATAAAATATGACTGGTAGTTTGCTTTCCTCTGAATGTTTGAAATCAGTCCCACTTAGGTGACTGGGTGTATTCAATCAGCATTCAGTGGCAACACCATATCCAAGGACTAAATAATTAATTGCCCTGGAGGACAGTACTGCACCCTGAAATCTGGAAGAAAATAATTATCAGAGGCTTTTTTCCACAAGAACTCTGTTTAAAAAAATCATGAAGATGGCAACAACAGATATAATGCTCTGCATATTTTTGTATTAAGTGGGGGAAAAAAAAGCAAAATGTGTTCACATCTAATAAATGTAAAAGACAAACAAAAGTGTCACTGAAAACCCCTGAAAACAGCACTCCCAATAATGGATCTGTGCTCTTTTGGTGAAAGTTACTATGACTATTATTTATATACCATATTAATAGCTGTTTGCTATTCATTATAAGCATTATTTACTTTCCTTCTTTTGTATACCATAACTAACCACCTAGTCCTGGCTTTCCACATGAATAATTCATGATTCTCCTTTTAAATTCTGATGCTATATTTGCAATGTTAAGGTTTCAACTTTTGGGGGAGTTTTGATTCCAGAGGTCGATACTGACTTGCTTGATACAAGCTCTTCCTAAAATGGAAGAGGACATGCTGTGAGAGAGCGCTTTCAAAAAAGACAAACATTAAGTAAGAGCAAGTAGAAAATAAAGAAATAAAATAAAAATGTTTGGGCCTAGTGATACAGACGCCTAACTGGTATAGACTGGCACAGCTTTCGTTGACCGCTGGACCTATGTGTCAGAGGTATAGAATACTTCATATACATATGCATAATATACTTCAATACAGCATGCTGTTTGTTTCTCTGTTTCGAAAATGATTTTGGAATTTATTTTTACTTCAAAGGCTAGTTTCCTGGATCGCAGCAGTGTATTACTTATGCATTTAACTGGATAATGGGCATAAAGGCCTGTGCAGCTGGAAGCAGAGTGGAGCCTTTGCAAAGCGGTGGAGTGACAACACTAAGGGAAATACTTAAAATTGACCAGTCTGCAGAAGACCAAAGGAGAGAGCCTGAAGGAGAGAATGGTTATGAATTCATCAAACCATTGCTGTCATCACAGCTGACCCTGGCTCATATTCTCACCCTCTATGCAGCTAAGATACAATCTCTTCTCTTCTATTCATAGCACTCGGACATGGAACTCAGTATTTTGATGGAAGTAATTATTTCTAGACTAAAAACATATGAAGTGCATTCTGTTTTGAGGAAAACATTTTTCCCTTTCACACTCATAGTACTCCCTACAGTAATAATTGGAATTACATGTATACATCAAAAGAACAACTCAACTATGGGAACAAAGGCTTCCATCTTGCTCTCGGTAATTTCTACTTACAGAAACCTACATAAGGCCTTAAGATAGAAAATGTGTTGTATAAAACTGAAAATGAAGTTAGAACAAACTGCAGCATTTGAAAAATACCTGCCTCCATGCAATTTTCTTAGTAAACTTATTCCCCCCATACACACATTGTACAAGCAACAAGTGGTTTATTAAAGGAAAACAAAAAGTTGCAAACAGCAAACACAAATGCTAAGATCCATAAAAAGCCATTTAGGAACTTAATTCTATTTGTTTTGACAGACATTAAGTGCTTAAACACTTCTGTGGATCTGAGTCTTAATATTTACCTACCATTCTACGTTTTCAGAGTACCTCATAGTTTTCGCTTAATTAACTCACAAAAAAACAGGGACAGGGAAATTTTGACGTTAAAAATGACTTATGACATACGCAGGTAAGCAGCAGGTATAGGATTCGAACTCAGGACCTGACTATGCTTCACTGTGCATGTTCTCCCACATCACACAACTTTCTTGTAATTGAAAAATAAACCAATATAAAACTTACAAACAACATAATGACACCTTCCCTGCTTCGACCAATATCTAAGCACAGCAGACTGCCATGTTAATGAATTTCATAATGCGTCTAATGACACTTATGAGTTAGAAGACATATGGAGTGCTTCATTCATAACTGGATTTCCTTGGGTTTGAGCTTTGTTTTGTTTTTTTTACTAGCAGACAGCTTTAAAAGTCTCCCTCTGTGTTTTTTTGTGTGTGAATATAATTACAGTCAATTTTTGTTATCCGAGACTTTATATTTCATATTCTATAATGCAATTCAATTTACAGTTCCTAACAGCAAGGGGTGAGCTTTCTCAGTGACTA